TCACCAAACAGATTCTACAGTTTATCCACATTTGGTTTTTTCCCTCACATTAGACTGATTGCCCGGGTGCCGATGGAAATGTGAGGTTCTTCTCATGTGGGGCCACGGCATAGATGCAATCATGTACACGTGCAAGCACGCACAGGTGGAAAGCATACCTGTAGAGACTCTGAATGCATGTAAAATTATCTCAATTTCTTTGAATAAACACAGAAGCAGTGACAGGACAGCGGTAAGACTGGACTATCACTGTCATGTTTTAAAGTCAGAAATACATAATTTTTCCCCACATCCATCCCTTTGTACTGACAAGAATACAGGCATCTTACACAATCTGTCTCTTTACCCCCACTACTTTGTAAGGAACAGGAAGTGGATAGGCAAAGCATTCATGAGCAGCTAATGCAAAGCTAGCTCTCCACCTTCCAATCCAGTTGAAATCCTGCTCTGCAGAGTGTGTAGCATAATGAGAAATCCCCTACAGAAATGGAAAAAGATGCTTTCTTGTCTTAGCATTTTTCCCCCTTCACTGCATTTCAAAGCAAAGAAATGCCAGTTTCCTTGCACCAAAGGGCACAGAGACCTTCTGTGAGAAAATCTATTTTCAGAGCCTAGTCATGTGCCTAGTCCAACCTATGCTTCTGCGTTTTCCAGGATAATTTTTGGTTTAGCTGCCCATGAAATTGCCAAAAACCTTGCATTGGTGGGCAAACTGGTGCCACTGCTTATCTGTTGCTGTGCACTAGGTAAAGGTCATTATAAGGATGGAGACACAGCATTTTAACTGGGCAGGCATTAAAGCTCACAGGAGCATCCCCATAAAAAATAGAAAGCTCTTTCTACTTACATAGATTTATATTTTTGCATCTTTCCTCTAGCAGTTACTGCTATGCCCCCAGACATTAGAGAAACAGTGAAGGAGAGGTGAAAGAGAACCTCCACTTTCTGATAACAAGGGTGGGAAACAGAGGCCTCCGGATTTATTTTTATTGCATACAACATTTATCATTGCTAGCTTGCGTAGCCAAAGATGAGAGATTATGGCAGCTGCAGTCCAAAAACATCTGAATGACCATAGTTGCCTATCCCTGTTTTACAGGAAGTATATGCTGCAGAGTGACTGTTCAGCAGTGAGGGGCAGGCAACTGCATGTACTTAGATGCATTCTTCTAGATTAGGCTTTCAGTGGCTGAACCTTGATTCAAGGACTTGCACAATGAAGGGAGGGGGGTGTTTGTCAGTTCTAAGGCTGACTGTTCAAAGGATCATCAGGAGAACTCTTGGCTCTAATTCCCCTGGAGTATTTTCTCAGTCTTTGTGGACACTGTTGGGATCCCCCTGCAAAGGAAACACTACCATCCGATAAAGGAATTTAATGGAAACAATGGTACCAGTATATTACACACTGGAATTGCCCTACAAGTCCTGGTAAGAGAACAGGAAGAAATCTCATCTTTATACAGCAGTGCAAATCCCAAGCACAACAGTGGGGCAACAGGCAGGGCACAGTGTCACTCAGTAGGGTTTTCACAAGCATACGTCAGCAAAATGTGGAAAATCTGCACTGGGTTCCTCTGTTCTATATAGTACAGAACTGGACTTCCACTGGGGATGGGGCCTTGGGACAGAATTCTGGGAGATGCAGCCAAAACCAGAAGTTTACAGAGCAGCTTTCATTACCTACACATAAGCTCCTGCCATCATTATTCACCTTTCAAAAAGGGAACTTCCCCAGTGCTGCCTCGGAGTAGCAAAGCTGCATGGGTGTCATAAGAATTCATGGGATGCGTAGTTCTTTGAGAGGCACCCTCTCTGCAGTGTAATGAGCAGCAAAGCTACTATATGAATCTTGCAAGTCCTATGGAGCCTTGCCACTCCCAGGCAGCAGCTGGCTGGGGGAATTCTGGGAGTGGCAGTCCAAAAAATCCCAAAGTCTCATCCTTAGCATGCATGAATGCACATTTGTGCAATGGCGGTGTTAGACATGGGTGTGTATGTTTCCCTCTTCTTGTTAGGCAATGGTACATTAAAAACCATGTGTATTTTGTAAACATTTCCCACATTAATTAAAGCACATTTTTCAATGTTACACACTTTAGCCATTTGCAATTTGATATGTGTGCAATTAACACCTCTATTACATACTAGAAGCCTCAGAAATATGCATATTTTCAATGTCTCTTGTCAATTCTCTGTCCCGTAGTCAATTCTTCGACTCACTTTTCAAACAATTCGTAAAACTGAGTTCAAAGGTGATTAAAAAGTGAGAGCCAGTGTAGATAGTACAGTAGATAGACTAGGAGTGATTTACTCAGCTATGCAAACTCACTGAGGCTGGGTGGAAACTACTCCTTGAACATCTCATATACTTTGTAGTAGATAGACTAGGACTGATTTCAAATCCTCACTCAGCCATGCAAACTCACTGAGGCTGGGTAGGAATGGTAAACTACTCCTTGAACATCTCATATACTTTAGAACCCTATTAAGGTTGTAATGAGTTAAAAGCAACTTCTTGGCACGTAACATCAAGCAGTTATAGGATTGTACATGGAGATGGGTGAAATGCAAAATGTCATGGCAACAATGGCAACTTGGTGAACTTTTGGTGGGGGCTTCATAAACAATTAAAGTGGGAGGGAATGAAAACAAATCTCAAACCCAAAACAGCAATCCTCTACCTATAGATACTGAGGAGTGCAAATTGGATGAGAGGTAACAGTTTGGTTAGCACAGATTAGCAATGTGCCATTCAAGACTGTGACATTTCTATATACTCTGTGTGGCCATATAGTACATGAAGGGATATATAATTGCCAAGCTATAGCAAATACTGTCCAGCTATAGCAAATACTCCAAACTGTCATTCAAAACTATGACAGTTTTATTTAATTATTCTTTGGATTTTTGCCTGATATATTTTCACTGTTAGGGATGGAAAGAGGTGTTTCTTGGATATTTCCCCCTCATGAGCTGAAATTGCAAGAGTGGTTTGGCATAACATGAGCCTTGACTTGGTAGGGGAAGGGGCACCCTGCTTGCTGCTCAGCCTTACCCACTGTCTTGAGCAAGCTGTGCCATTTCCCCCAACCTTTCATGGCCTCCTACAGCTTACATGTTACAGCCTGCGTGATTTAACACAACATGTTTCTCATACTTCGGCACAAACCCCCAAACACTTCAGAACTGCGCTGCAAGACATTTTCCATGACTTCGCATATAAGTTGACAGTTCTTTGGACCTCAGCCATTATGACCTTTAAGGTTATATAATACTTTCCGAGCTGAATGTTTAGGTGTAAGTGCTGAGAAACTCATCCTCTAACACAAGGTTTTTTGAAGAAAATATTCTGAAGTTAGTTATCTGCAAATTCTAAAGAGAGGACAGGTATCTAGAGAGAATTGTGGGTGGGGAAAATTTTGAGGGATGGATACATGGCAGAAAAAAATTATTACCTGATTTCTGTGCTGTTTCAAGTATGGGTTAAAACAGGAATGGTGGAGACTTCATTAAGATTGCTATCTAGAAATGAAAAACAATAGACCTGAATTCACTTTGGCACTCCCAAAGAACTCTGGAATTTCCTTTCTAGAAAGGAAATTCCTGAGCCTCCTGTGGTGTGACCATCCAGTCTTGGGTGTTTAAGTCTGGCATCAATCTGGTAATTACTAAATAATTATTTGATGGGGCACAACTGAGGGAAGAGTCAAGTTTATTTTTTTTAACTGTCTTGCACTCTGTTCTGGGCAGACAGTTAGGATATAAATTTAATAAATGAGTATCCCAGTACAGTACTGTCTTCCCAGCATCACACAATAGCAGCACAGTAGACCAGTGGTTTTCAAGTATGGGTTAAAACAGGAATGGCATACAGGGAATTAAGATTGCTATCTAGAAATGAAAAACAATAGACCTGAATTCACTTTGGCACTCCCAAAGAACTCTGGAATTTCCTTTCTAGAAAGGAAATTCCTGAGCCTCCTGTGGTGTGACCATCCAGTCTTGGGTGTTTAAGTCTGGCATCAATCTGGTAATTACTAAATAATTATTTGATGGGGCACAACTGAGGGAAGAGTCAAGTTTATTTTTTTTAACTGTCTTGCACTCTGTTCTGGGCAGACAGTTAGGATATAAATTTAATAAATGAGTATCCCAGTACAGTACTGTCTTCCCAGCATCACACAATAGCAGCACAGTAGACCAGTGGTTCCCAGCCTTGTGTCCCCCAGATGTTCTTGGTCTACAACAACCTGAAATTCTGGCCAGCACAGCTAGTGGTGGAGACTTCTGGGAGTTTTAGTCCACAAAAACATGGGGACACAAGTTTGGGAAAGTTGACTGTCAGCTGGTGTCACTCTACTACTCCAGAACTGATTTTGGAGTAGTAGAGTGGCTGCAAAGGAGAGGAGAACAAGAGGAAATTCTACTGTGCAAGGTGACATCCAGTTTCAGATAACACCCTGTGTGTGAATCCAACCTGTTATGTTTTGGAGTAGCAGTCAGTGAAAGAGTAGTTTAGAGGATTTTCACAGAATATTATAGTCCATGGAATATACTTCCCTCTCAACATGCATTAGCCCTGCCAACTCAAATAAAGCGTCCATGTTCCTGGAGGTAAAGAATCATGTCATTCAAAAAGAACCCAACTAGCTGGTCTTGGAAATCAAGAGTTGGACTAAGGTGTCTCTTCACTCTGCTCTTAGCAGAGCTCTTCTTATGTTCACACAGAGATGCGGTGATTTGAAAAAGGAAAGACTGCATCACTCCCACTTCTCTCCCAGACTGTAATAATGCAAAAGCAGCACAGACATGTTTGACGAGTTTGTCAACAACTGGCACAATAATGTAACAAAACATAGACAGAATTAACTGGTGTGATACTCTCTTTTCTGGTTGGGCACAGCCATTTGGAAAAAAACATCTACAACCATCTGCGGCAGAGTAAAGGAGTAAGCTTTCAATGTTCCTTGTCTAAAATGTATCATGAAGGCAATACTCACGCAGTGCATACAGTGAAAGGATTATTCCAGCCAGGCAAAAACCTTCAAAAAACCTGAGTGTGCTGAACATTGTCACATTCACTGAGAGGGCCACAGTCAGTCCAAAGATCAAAATGAACAACACAGAGAACAGCAGCACCGGCCGGCGGCCAACCCTGTAGAAAGCAGAGAGGAAGAAAGCCAAACGTGTCTTATTCCAGACTCAACAAAACGGTTTGCATATTTGACATTCCCTGTTACCTTTCAAACAATGTTGACTGTTAACCACAGCAGAGGTTCAAAACCACCAATATACATGCCGCTATGGGGACACAGATGTATGTCTTTTAGGTGAGATGTCAGGTATTCACAACATAAAATGACGAAATTGTTTCTTTATTTCTGTTTTAGCCCTAAAACTAAAGGACAAATACCACTTGTAAATTTTAATTACTTTTGTGTTTTGTAGCTTACCACAACATGGCTATTAATACTCAACAATATCAGCCCAATTGTCAAATATTAATAACAATTGTGTGTTTGAATTTGCTCTCAACGATACTACTGCATTTTTATCTCCATAATGTTTGCATATAGCCTGTTTCCTGAAAATAAGACCTAACCTGAAAATAAGCCCTAGTATGATTTTTCAGGATGCTTGTAATATAAGCCCTACCAAAAAAAAATAATAAGCCCCAGTAAAGTGAAACCCCACCCTCCACCATTGTGCAGCAACCAGAAGAAGATGACATGACTGTAAAATAAAACATCCTCTGAAAATAAGCTCTAATGTGTTTTTGGAGTAAAAATTAATAGAAGACCCTGTCTTATTTTCAGGGAAACACAGTATGATATGTATAATAACAGAAAGCATGTCAAACATACTGATTCTCCTTCCTGAAAACAGTGAAGCTTTTCCCCCCTTCTATCATGGTGGGAGTCAGTTTCTTGATGGGTGGGATATTTACTACGAAAGATTGGGAATCACTGTGGCACAGAATCTTATGGAAGCACTGTGGTGAGAGTTTGTTGACTTTTTAAAAGGCATTTAACAGCTTCAGATATATGTGGTGCCTAAAGGGTAGAGGAAGAGGCCCAAAGGGAATATTACCAGGGAACAGCATTACACAACTAGGACACCACCAATAAGAAATCATGTGTTGCCACACATCACATCTCAGACGGGAGGGGCACCAAGAACTGGCCCGCCTGTGACAATCTTAAAAACCATGCAAGCTCACGTTGCAGGATCTGCTCCTTTAGAAACCTGCAAATGGGAGGGATCCAATTGCACTCTCCCACTGGCAGAACTGCTTCTAGCAACAAAATCATCTTGGCCTATGCACATGCAAAAGCTGCTCCAGAGAGGTGGGGGATCTCTCCACAACAGACTGAGTGTTGGTGGGGAATTTCAGGGAAGAAAGAGAAGGAGGTTGGGAGGAAAGAGATTGATTTTGAGAGTAATGCAGTGGTTCCCAAGCTTGGGTTACAATTCCCAGAAAGCCCAACCAGCACAACCAGTGATGAAGGCTTCTTGGAATACAGTCCAGGAACACTTGGGTTACCCAAGGCTGGGAAGCACTGCTCTAACGCAACACTGGATTCTACCCTTTAGTTCTGAGGAGAACAGGGTTTTACTCATTTGTCCCCAGTAAAGAGTGAGATACCAGCTTCTCATGAAGCCTGCTTTTTAAGATGAGGTGCAATAAACTTCCTCAGTGTAGGGAAGAGTTTGGCACATGCAAAATAATTCCCTAGGTTTATTAGGATGGGAATATGCATAGCTGAAAAGCAGTGGCCATTGTCCAATTGTGCACAGGTTATGAAATAAAGGATGCATCTGGTTCTGCAATCGATCATGTAAGGGAAAGCACACCACAGGGGGAAAAACTACTATGTGATTGCTCCTGTGTGTATGGATTTCTGCAAAGATATCCTGACCTTACTTTATTATATTTGGTCATATTCTAAGGCAGTGGTGTCAAACTGTGGCCCTCCAGATGTTCTTAGCCTACAGCTCCCAGAAGCCTTCAGCACCACCTCTGCTGGCCAGGATTTCTGGGAGTTGAAGTCCAAGAACATCTGGAGGGCCACAGTTTGACACCACTGTTCTAAGGACTCTAGTTGGCTTATAATTATTATTATATTTCGTCATATTCTAAGGACTCTAGTTGGCTTATAATTATTTCACCAATATGCCAATGAAAAGGCTGCATAGATGAAAACTGAAAATTAAGTACCTACCCTTGATTTATTATTTGTTTTCTTATTATCTTCTTTCTCCCATAATGCATATAGTGAAATAAAAAAGGATTACTCTGATGAACAGCCCACAGATTGCCTCGTTCATGCTTTTTAACCTGCCACCTCCGGTAATATGCTCTCCAAATCTATGCTTTTATTTCGCCTTCGTTCTCCATTTTCCCCTCCGCCAATTCTCTGACCACAAACAAAAGGACAAGATGTAAAGGGAATTACAAAGAAGTCAGGTCCCATGAGCTACATATACACTTAGGCACACCCAAGTAATTATTATCTGGCTCTTAAATAGCCTGCTGTGCAAGGAGGCCACCTCCAGCTGGCCAAGCAGAAGGCAGGTGGGGATAGCGTTTATAACAGCTGCGCCACAGACTGGAGCCATTATCTTGGTAAGATCAAAGCCCTACCATTTAATCTAGTCTCAAGTACCTAACGTGTTTAATAAACCAGTTTCCATCGCCACTGGTTACCAAGCAACAGGAAGATGCTCCTATCAGGACTCTGTGATTTCGCTCTCCGTAGTTCATTCTGCTTAAATGTAATCAAAATCACAGAAACAGATTTATTTTTCTACACGTTTACAAAGATTAAATATATATATAATCCTTGTAAACAACGTTTTGGATGGTGCTAACCGGTGGCAAAGATTAGAACTGTGCAACCTGGCTGCCTTTTATTCTCCACAGAAGCAGACCTATAGAGAAGATATTTTTCAGTACCACCAAATTGCAACCCTCCCCCAACGCACAAACCCACTAGCAAGATTCAAACTATATCTGAGACATTTTTTAACCATCAGAGACTGATCGTTATTCATGTTACAGATTATGAAACATGGCCAGTTAGATATATCAATGTTCTTAAACACATTTCTGCATATGTATGTATGTATGTATGTATGTATGTATGTATGTATGTATGTATGTATGTATGTATGTATGTATGTATGTATGTATGTATGTATGTATGTATGTATGTATGTATGTATGTATGTACGTTTTTATTTATTGTTGTTGTTGTAATTGATATATTTAGAGGTATACAAACAAATCATCAGTGAAGACAAATAGCAAGCATCAGAGCCAGTGCCCCATATCAGAAGCCCAGAAAAGGTTTTGCCTATAGGCTTTCAGCATTCCAATAATTCTGCTCCAAAATCCAGATTACTCCAAGATGGGAAAGGAAAAAAGAAAGGGGGGGGGAGAAAAGAAAAGAAGAAGAAAGAGAGAAAAGAAAAAGAAGAAAAGGGGAGATAGGCTAGGTAATGGCTGTAGGAAAGGCCTGCCTGTATAGCCATATCTTTTGCTGAATCAGAAGATGTGTGTCACAATGAGCTTTAAACAGAAGATAATGGCTGCACTGTTTTTCAAAAGCCAATACATGTGAATGAGGATCTCTGTTAGCATTTTGAATAATTAACCAACTAAAATTGGATGGGAATACAAGAAAGAAATTTCTGTTGTGGTGTGCAAAGATTCAGTTATTTTAAAAAATATTATTATTGTACAAAACAAAATCTTTCTTCATCACTGTTCAGATTTGTCAACGGTTTGTACGTCAACCTAGTCTTTTCTGATTAGTGAGGGACTCCGTGACTGGGATGGAATAAATCTTTATATGCCTATAATGGAATTATTTAAGTAACATACTTGAATTCCTCCTAACCTCCTCTTTTTAATGTTACACACTAGAAGAAAGCCGGGTGGCTTTTTCTACCTCCATTCTGAAGCTCCTATCAGGTTTACAATATTGCGCTGTTGGCCAGCCTTAGCGCAAGTACATCAACCTAAGCCATCCATGCCATCGCAAACACTTTCTTTAAAAATTCAGAATTATTTCATTTTGCACATTATCATCTGTCAGTGCTTCTGTAATGTATGAAAGTGTCATTTCTCCACAGAAGAAGTCACTGTAGTAAAAGTGATAAAGGAGAACTTTTAAGTTGAAAGCAATCTCGTAACAGTTTTAAGCAGACTTACTATTAGCCATTTGAGACGGCTGAGTCCATACTTACCAGTCAGCTATACATCCTGTTATTAAGTAGCCAAAGATTAATCCCACAAGCAGAGAAAATTTTGCAATGTGGACTTTCCAAGCAGAATCACAGACAAGATCCCACTAGAAAAAAAGGAAGAGAACACATTTTAGAAAAGTGCACCATTATTCAGAAAATGGCTGGAACAGAATTCAAGACAAGGAACTTATGACCCTTTGGACACTAGCCTCCAGTTCTCATCATCCTCCACCATTCGTTATGCTGACGAGGGTCAGTGCTGGATTTATGCACAAGCTAGGTAAGCTACAGTTTCTAGCCCCACTCAATGAGGAGCCTCTAAAACACATAAACACCCAACTACCTCATGCATCACTGTTAGAATAATTGTAATATAATGAATGTTAGATGCCCTATATTGAGTCAGATCATTGGTCCACCTAGCCCATAAATATCAATTCCGATTGGCAAAGTCTTTCCAAGATTACAGACAGGATTATTTCCTTGTCTGACCTAGTATTTCTGATGGTTTTCCATCCACATACCAACCAGGCCCAACCCTACTTAGCTTCTGAAATCAGGCAACATAAGGCAGGTTCAGGGTGATATCACAGCATTATTACTATGGGGTCTCTTAAATTTGACATAGTTCAGGACTTCAGCTCATTTAATTCGGCCTTGGCAAGCATTAATAAACATTGCAGACCAATATCATCTGGAAAGCCAGGCACTTCCCATACCAGACATTCTGCAGCATACTTGACCTATCATAGCTGAAGCTCTTTGTGGCTTTACTGTACCACACTGATGATTAATGAGTGCCAAGTGTTTACATTTTCCCCAACCCCATCCTGTAAGTTTATAAGAACACAGAGGTAGCCTGGCTACTGAAGCCATGAATCTCCTACATCTTATTGCTGAAGCTCAATAATGATGGTCACCCACTCCTGCTTGCCCTTCAGCATCTACCATTTTGAGATACACTTCCTCTGCTCATGGATGGGCCACTTATATGCCCAGAACATATGGCCATCCAGTATATTTATGTCTTAGGAGGTTGTCTAACCATGACCACCACAACTCCTTGTACAAAGTGGTCATCATCGTAACACATTGCACCTATTATTAGGGATAGAAAAAGAATTTTGGATTCATCAGGACTGATTTTGCTTTGTTTGTTTTACAAATCTGTCAGATTCATGGACTGTGATATTAACAAAAGAGCCCGTGTATCCATCAGTTTAGCATCCTCAGGAGGAAACAAAATAATCAGAGTATTTTCCCTCTGCATCACACAAAAGAAAATTTACACAAATATTTTTAAACAATGAGAAAATGCACAGAAAATGCATACATTAAGAAAAATACATTTCAAATTGTTATATTAGTAACATGAGCACTAAAATATGCAAGAAACTCCCACATGGGAACGTCCTTCCACAAGGAAATTACCATAAGAAGTCTCACACCTGATAACAGAAGATCAACAGGTTAAGAATACTGCTGGATTCTGAGAAATACAACAAAAACAGAACCAACAGATTTTCAGATTCCAGGAACTAGTTCTACATTATGTGAAAATTATCCCCTTTTCCATGTCCTCATCATGAGGCCTCGAATGTTCATGATCAATACCAACCATCTTTATTGGTTACCCACTTTTAATACCACAAAAGAAAAATATATATCTCTACCCATTCGCTTCAGTGCTATCTGTTTAGAAAATATTTATGTCTGTAATAACTATCATACCTGTCTAGGACTGCCTGGTCAGCAGCAAATACCAGGGTCCGGGCCTTGTGAAAGCACAGAGATGGGGACTGCATAATAAAGGATCATAAGTTGCAAAGCTGAGGCTCCACTCTCTGTGGCTCCAAGTGGACATACCCACCAGCTCTTTCTCCTGTGCCCTCCCTTCCTCCAGGCTTTATAAGACACAATGCACAGGCACAACCCACACAGAAACATTTTCATGCTGAGCCAATAAACCCTGATACCGGCTGGAAATGAGCAGAGAGACATGTCCATCCCACAAAAAACAAACTTCTCCTTCCTCCAGCTTTACTTGTGCTGAGACTTATCTCCCTTCCTGGATAAGCACAGCAAGTCCCTGAGACTCCTGCCAGCACCCCTAGACCTGGCAAACATGTGCCTGTCCCCTTCCCCCCCCAAAAAAAACACCTTAAGCATCTGTTAGCTTTTTTTCATTTGATCCCTTTAGCTATCCTTTAATAATACATATAATTCAGAGGCAGCGTTATGGCAGTTTCAAAGTGACATGAGTGCTTAAGTTGCAGATAAACTATCTGTATAATATCTGCATACTATTTCTGTACTACTGCTGTATCATCATTTCTGTGGGGCAAACATTTGAAAAGGCCCAGCTAGGCCATATGCAACCCTCTATTTAGAAAAATTAAGATGTACTTTCAGCCTTTAAACAGATTGTACGTACACACAATCACAAGCTGGCCCCATAAAATGCCATCTGTAATCGTCCCCAATGACTCCTGTTCATCTCGTAGTTAACAAGAAGAATCCCACCCTAACATTTTGGCTAGGGCTGTTGATGACTTAAGGCTTTCTACAGCTAATCAAATAGCCACAATCTTGAGGATATATCTTTGACTAAATGTTTAGCACCTGACTAATCAATCTAACACTGCATTCAAGCAAATTATTTTGATCAATATTACTATTCCTGAATTGAAAAACCACACACATATAACAAATGAGCGGATTGGTAAACAAGCCTGATTAGCCACGCAATACCTTCAGGAGAGGCTGTGTTGACTGTAAGACAAAAGTCCACAATCCATGTTGTGGTGTTAACACAAAAAGGCACACAATCCTCTGTGCAGGCTTTTGCAGTAAAAAAAAAATCTCAGCAGTCTGGACGTTACCTGAAAGGGAGTGGGAGGAGCCCACAACCCTAGAACTGTGTAATATGTATGTTGTCAAAAGATATAAAGAAGATAATGCAAAGATTGTAACAGGGCATAACAGAGATTAAATTTCATCCTGAAAACCCCCAAGAAAAGCCACCGAAAGTCATAAACAATATACTCTGTATGTGCATATTTGAGATTTGGACTACAACTCTCAGAATTGCCCAGGCACCAAGGCTACCTGCCAGAATTCTGGAAGTTGTAGTCTAAACAAACACAGAGAGCCTTACCAACTCACCAGAGGGGAGTGCTTTGAATTCCCATTTTGAAACAAGTCCCTGGGTTTTCAAGATGGTGTTGTGATTTCATAGTCCTTAAGCTTCCCCCATACTTTAGATAAAGGTAAAGGTTCCTCTTGACATTTAATCCAGTTGTGTCTGACTCTAGGGAGCAGTGCTCATTCCTGTTTCCGAGCTGTAGGGCCAGTGTGGTCACGTGGCCAGCGTGACTAGATACAGAATGCCGTTACCTTCCCACCATGGTGGTACCTATTTATCTACTCACATTTTTACATGCTTTCGAACAGCTAGGTTGGCAGGAGCTGGAACAAGCAACGGGAGCTCACTCCGTTGCGTGGATTCAATCTTACTATGGCTGGTCTTCTGACTTTGCAGCACAGAGGCTTCTGCGGTTTAACCCGCAGTGCCACCACGTCCCTAATACTTTAGCAACCTCATATTCCATGAAGAGATTTCTTGTCTCATAAGTATGCACAGAGAATGTTCTGTCTGTTTAGTTGGTCTAGTAAAAGTATCAGCCGGCTGGACTGCTCAGCACGTTTGGTATCCGGCTGCAGATCCAGAGGTTGGGGACTTCGGTTCCCCACTGTGCATCCCAGAACGGTCAACCTGTCTGTCCTTGGGCAAGCTGCACAGTCCGAGGGTGCCCCCAGAAGAAGGGAATGGTAAAAGTCAGTTTACCCTACAAAACCCTGAAAAGGGTCACCATAAGTCAGAAGTGATTTGACGGCACACAATTACGAATTAGTACAGGTTCATAAACAACATAGAGTTCATACACAACTCACAACATAGAGTTTAAGCCTACCAAGAAATTTACACCTGTACAGCAAACCTGGGTGACCTTTCCCTTCCCATGGTACTGGATTTCTAAAGCAACTGGAGACCTACTAGTGCAGCACACTCCTGTTTTAAAGTGAAATACAGTCACTCAGCTGGACTGCTGAAAATACTCAAATATACATGAGAAAAAGATGTGGTGGGATATCCATGGCACAACTGATCAAATGGTATGTTATTCTACTTCAGGCCACCCTAAACACATCCATATACTTTGGGGAGCTAAGCAGGGTCAGAGCTGATTGGGACCTCCAGGTATTTCAAAAAAGAATCTTGCCATGAACCCTGCTGCTGGTTAGAGCTAACAATCATGAGCTAAGTAGACCAGTGGGTTCAGTAAAAGGTTCTGCGCTGTTACGTACTCCTCCAACAGAATCTTCATTTGGCACCCTAAATGCATTCATATACTTTGGGGTGCTAAGCAGGGTCAGAACTGATTGGGACCTCCAGGTATTTCAGAAAAGAATCTTGCCATGAACCCCGCTGCTGGTTACAGCTAGCAATCATGAGCTAAGAAGACCAGTGGATTCAGTAAAAGGTTCCTGCGTGGTTACGTACTCCTCCAACAGAATCTTCATTCCTCCTGAGTGAAAATGGACAAAAACCATATGGAAGATTAATTGAACAAATCCTGCACAATAGCATTACCTACTTGGTAGTCAACTACAGCTCTTTATCATAGACCTGATGATTGCAAAAATATTCAGTTTAAAAGCACATTTTGTGTCCAGCTGCATGTGGAGGAGAGGGTGTCTGGAACCATTCTATAAAATATCTTCATCAGAATATCACAGAATCTGAGAGAGCTCTTTGAACATTTAGTGTTTTGTTTTTTAAAAAAATCAAAACCCAGTGAAAATTCTGCTCCGTTATCCAAGCCTGCTCACCAAGCTGTTTCAAGGCCTATTGTGAGAGAGGAAACGAGCCGAACAGAACACAGTCTCAGGGTGCCTGTCCCGTTGCTGCCTTCAACCAGTTGAGCTAACATTTCCCAGGCAGACACGCTAGCCAGCAGGCGTGCAGAAACCATAGCTGCTGCATCACAAGGCATGGCGGTTAAACCACACTGACAGAATTCCTCCAGATTTTCTCCACAAA